TCGAATTAGTAATCCGTTATTTCGAATTACTAATCCGAAATTTCGAATTAAGTAATTCGTTATTTTGAATTAGTAATTCGTTTTTTCGGATTACTAATTCGAAATAACGAATTACTAATTCGAAATTTCGGATTAGTAATCAACGAATTACTAATCCGAAATTTCGAATTAGTAATTCGTTATTTTGAATTAGTATTCTGTTATTTCGGATTACTAATCCGAAATTTCGAATTAGTAATTCGTTATTTCGAATTAGTAATCCGTTATTTCGGATTACTAATCCGAAATTTCGAATTAATTAATTCGTTATTTCGAATTAGTAATTCGTTTTTTCGGATTACTAATCCGAAATAACGAATTACTAATTCGAAATTTCGGATTAGTAATTCGTTATTTCGGATTACTAATCCGAAATTTAGAATTAGTAATTCGTTATTTCGAGTTAGTAATTCGTTATTTCGGATTACTAATTCGTTATTTCGAGTTAGTAATCCGAAATAACGAATTACTAACTCGAAGTAACGAATTACTCAGGAGCGAGTACGTAGGCCTAGAGAGAGAGATTGGGACGCGGTGGATGCCCTAGTTTTCACACGTGAAGGTAGTTTCGAAGTTTGGTGAGTTTTTTTGTTGCTGATAAGTTTCTATTTCAGTGATAATAGTAATTAGGCCTATTTTATTACAATTTCCAGACAGTAAAACTTTGAAAAGTATACAGAAGGTAGGCAGAGACAATTTTGAAGTAGCCTAGGCCTAGTGCTAGGCCCAGGGACTGCATGTTGAGATAGCGTACGTTACTGTGTCGTCCAAAGCGTACGAGTCAACACGACCCTACATTTACCCTCCCTGCTTTACTTCTCAATTACTACAAAAACCTCTGAGACAGTTAGTTGCATAATGCAATGGATTTTGATGATGTAGGCAGCTAGTATGCTGTTGATAATAACCTTCAGAAATTTATATACAATATCTATTTTTTTCAACAATAGGCCTAGAATAAAAAGGAGTGCTGAAATATGGCTCAGAAGCTGCATAGTTGTAGTGAACTGTACGAATATATGGAGACTCGAGGAATTGATGCAGAGAACATAACAAAAATGAGGGATGAAAAGGTGAGAACTGATAGTTTGAGAACTGATGTTTTAAATGTATAGATACAGTAGTACAACTTTTGTTTACAATTTATTAATGAACAACTACCCACAAGGTCACATTAAAGCTGTTAAAATAGCCTTATCTTGTTCATCATTCATTCTGTTTTTGTTATAGGGGTTTAGATGAAATTGGCAGTATTTGCAAGTCACTCAAAATGCCTTTTAATGAGTGCCAAAGTCTGGTTAAAGTCTATTTCAACCTTGGTTTAAATTATACAGAAATAATTGCGCTTCTACTTTCAAATCATGGGATTTCCATAAGCAAGAGGACTCTTCACAGAATACTACGCAGACTTGACTTATATCGACGAAAAAATCATACAGACATACTTGAGATAGCTTTATTTATTGAGCAGCAACTCCAAACGTCAGAGAACCTACACGGTTATAGGTGGATGCATTTAAAATGTATTCAGAATGGTATTAATATCGACAAAGAAACTATACGCCTAGTTTTGAAACTTTTAGATCCTCATGGGGTTGAACTAAGATCAAGAAGACGGCTTCAAAGACGGACATATCGCGTGAGAGGACCTAATTATATATGGCACATTGACTCTTATGATAAATTGAAACCATATGGCATCTGTGTCAATGGATGTATTGATGGGTTTTCTAGGAATGTTATGTGGCTAGAGGCATACAAGACCAGTAGTGATCCCAGAGTAATTGCAGGGTATTACATGAACACTGTTAGAAACAAAGTTGGGTGTCCGAGGGTACTTAGATCGGACCATGGAACAGAAAACTCTGTAGTTGGGCAGCTGCAGCAGTTTCTTAGAAGAGATAATCAAGACCCAGTTGCTAGTTTTGTCCAGGGCACGAGCCAGCACAACCAGCGCATAGAATGCTTGTGGAGTATGCTTCGAAGGCATTGCACTCAGTACTGGATGGAATTGTTTTCTCAATTAAAAGAAGATGCACGGTTTGATGGAGGTCTTTTGGACAAGTCATTGGTTCAGTTTTGTTTTTTGAATCTAATTCAGGTATTCTTCATTTTCATTGTCATAATACAGTACAAACTTTTTTTAACAAAATGCCATTTTAGAGTGTGGAAAAGTTATAACCGCACTCCTGCGAATAACTATTTGAGGGGCACTTATACAACTGGAAGCTTCCGGGGGTGCTTATGAAAACTACTCTAATTAAGGGAGTGCTAATGGAAGCTGATGCAAACTGAGACTAAACGAGAGAGGTAAAATTAAACAACTTTGCATATAAGGCACTTCCGTGAATACTTGGTAAAGGCGAATATTCAAATTAGGAGAGCAGCACTTAAGAGTGTCATTTATTTTTCAAATGGGACATTTTTCACTATTCATTTGGACCAGTAAACCATCAAAACCCTCATGCACATTAAAACAAAGTCTAAAATTTCAGCGGAGGTAAAATTGTATTTTTTGTCATATTTTCTATCGTCATATTCTACTACCTGTACAATTTCCATTTCATTTTATTTGTAAATACAATTTCCTAACTTTATTTTTTTTCATTTATTTTTGGTTTATTAGGATGAGTTCAACAATGTGGTAAGAGAGTGGAATGCTCACTGTATAGCACCCTCGAGAAATAGAGACGGTCCATTTGGTCGTCCAATGTTAATGTACACATCACCAGAGTTATATACGGAGGACAACAATTTATTGTACCGTTACAAATGGATGAGATAGAAATATACAAAACTGAGTGCATTTTCAAGAGCCAGTACACATGTGACAAGGATGTGTTTAATCTTTGTTCGATATTAATGAGAGAAAGACAACTGTCTCAACCAAATAATCCTGAAGAGAGTCTGTATTTGTATAATGTTTTACGAATTGCAATAACTGAATTACTTTGAGAATGAAGCTGGTTTGTTTTTTTCTCAATAAACCGTGTGTACAGTAACAGGTACAACAACAATTACTGCAACAAAAAAAGATTTAAGTTTATACATAAAAAAATTAAAGAAAAACATAGGCCTATAATTATTTTTAGCTGTCTCGATTTTAATGAAAATATTTTTTATTAATAATGCAAAAACAGACATTATACAGTAAACTAAAATGTATGATAAACTATACTTTTTTTCCAGTATAGCTCAGCAAGACATAATCACCATACTAATAGCTATTTATTGAGATCCTGTGTAAATACTGTTTTTCTTTCTTTTCTCACTGTAGTAAATAATGAATAGATTATTAAATACATGCCAATATTAAATGGACAATTATGTTAGTTCTTTTTATTTGTATCAACGCTATTATGACAGCATGATTCATGTGTTCCTTTCAAAATTACTGAAACCGAGTTAACTACAAATGAACACAATAAATTTGAACATTGATAGCTGAATCTTTAAATACTTTAAAAATAGCATATTCAGAATATAAAAATTATAAAATTAAGCTTTTAATACATCATAAATTTATGAGCAAAATAACTATAAAGAGAGAGAACCCATATTAAGGGGGATACACTGGTAAACTGAAATTGTTCCCGTAATTGGATTTTCTTCTGTAAAAAACACTATACAACAGATTATTTATTTTAGTTTCATTGCAAAATAGTAACGATCATTAGAATTATAACAAATAATAATATTTAAGATGATTATCCTGGTAGTTCGATTATTCATACTTAATTGCCTTATCTTTTGTTATACTATCCTGTTATTTTGTAATTATTATGCTATTTTTTAATTGTTACCTGCTCCCCACCAATCCTTCATATTATCAAATTCCTTTTTTTCTTTTTATATATAATCCTGTTCCCTATAGAGTATACTGTATCATTGTGTTGCAACACATTTTATGAGTACCTGATGATGACCTATGGTCGACAGTACTTTTTAAATAAATATATCATTTTGAAGCAGATTCAAGAACTTGTGATTTTTTTAATCTTTTTTAGACAGTACATTATATGTAAATTAGAGTGACCTCAGCTTAAACTGTTAACATAACTTTATTAACAGTCGTAACTATTGGCACTACATGTAAATTTAATGCAGCATATCATTTTATTTCTGTTTAACTTAAACATCAACTTATAAAATAATGCAATTTACACATAGTGTATTGTTATGTGGAGTGGTATATTGTACAAAATGACTATTAAGTACAGTGTAAACTGTATGAATTATAGGCTAGTGATAAAAGTTGGCCTACATGTTGTTGTTATATAATCAGAAATGATTTATTTACAATACCTAATCAGGATAAATATCTTAAAATGCTTGCACACTTGACAAATATAAATTACTCCTTCATTCCTAATTACAAATTTCCAATTCAACTATCATATACTTTTAGTTTCTTATTGTACATACGCATGTATAGTAATAAGCAATAAATTAAAAAAGTGAAAATTAAAATGGACATAATTTAACCAAATTATAAATTTCAGTAAACAAAACTTTTTCTCGAGTGGAAATACTAATATACTTATATGGACTAACAAAATTACATTTTTTAAATTAGAAATGGTTTATTTACAATATCTAATCAGGATAAATATATTAAAATGCTTGTACACATGATTAATACAAATTATTCCTTTATTTAACAAATTCCAAAGTGTATATAATGTTAGTATTAGTAAACAAAACTTTTTCTCAATATCAACTATTGTATATTGAAATACTGTACTAACATACTTACAATTTGAGTTCATAATTAAGTTTCACTGAGTGAAATCATCTTACAGTGATTAACAATACTGTCATTGCTTTTGATTTCAATTTTTTGAATTCCAATCAAAACTAACATCTGGTCAACACCAACAATAACAACAATTTGTGTTCATAATTTAAAATTTCACTGAGTAATATCATCTTACAGTGATTAACAATAATGTAATTGCTTTCGATTTCAACTTTTTGAACTCCAATCAAAACTGTAACACCAGGTCAACACCAAAATAACAACATGATAACTCTAACTCCTTGTTTACTTAAACATTACCAAACCCGTGGCAATCTGTCAGTGATTCTGTCATGAGGCTTTTGAAATAGGATGGTTCATCAATACCCCCGGGAAGGCTCAATGTTAGTGCACAGGTAGATGACCATGGGCGACGCATGGTATTTCCCTCGGAACTGTAAAACAAAATTCTGATTGGCTGAACAAAACCTAGTGGTGGAATGTATTCACACCCAGTAATAAAGATAAGTATATCTTTAAGTAACAATCCACCAGCTTCATTTTCCTCCAAATCTTGCAAAAACAACTCAAAACTGTAGATGGTACTGTCTTCCTTAGCTCTGTTGTTTGACCCTTCTTCTGAAAAACAGTACTGGTAGATTGACTTGAACTCATCCACTGTTAGCTTCTTTACTTTACTATTTAAAAAGGAAGAAAAAACATATTCATTACTTCTGACCAGGTCACCAAATGTGCCGATTTCATTCATTCCCTTGAATTTCTGCATAGACACCATAAAGAAAGTGTTGCTTTAGAAGGGAGACTACAATATTATCTTTTCCAGATATATTTGATGTATATATTCTGGAATAGCCATACTGTGCAATGGTATCTGCATGATGTTCGATGAAGTTTTGAAATTCAGTCTCTGAGATACAGCTTTCAAGAGCCTTGAGTAGAGATTTTAGGTCATTGTCATCAACAGCTTCAATCGCAGCAGCATTATTGACATCACTCCCTTTCATGAATCGGTAACCTTCTTCTGACAAGTATAGTACTGTACTGTTTTAATAATATACTGTATTTCAAATTGTATTTTAGTGATATTCAGGCTAGTTGTTTGAATTATTTCAATGGTGCAGATTTTAATATTCTATGTAAAATAATTTCAAGACCAATATTAACCAACAGTCAGTGTGCCCATCATAATACTGAATGGTAAATTTATTTTAAATTCTAGTTAATGTAGCCTAAATTGTACAGTACCAAACACACAAGTCATATGAATGCGGGTATGAATGCCTGGATAAATTGTTGAAAGAAGGATCTATTGGAAACTGGAAATATCATAAATATAGTACCAAAAATGTCTAAAGAGCATTCTATCAGACATTACAAACAAACTATATCAGTTCTCACCTTTTCATCCCTCATTTTTTAATGTTCTCTGCATCAATTCCTCGAGTCTCCATATATTCGTACAGTTCACTACAGCTATGCAGCTTCTGAGCCATATTTCAGCACTCATTATTATTCTAGGACTATAGTTGAAAAAAAATAAATATTGTATATAAATTTCTGAAGGTTATTATCAACAGCATACTAGCTGCCTACATCACCAAAATCCATTGCATTATGCAACTAACTGTCTCAGAGGTTTTTTTTTGTAGTAATTGAGAAGTAAAGCAGGGAGGGTAAATGTAGGGTCGTGTTGACTCATACGCTTTGGACGACACGGTAACGTACGCTATCTCAACATGCAGTCGCTGGGCCTAGCACTAGGCCTAGGCTACTTCAAAATTGTCTCACTATGCCTACCTTCTGTATACTTTTCAAAGTGTTAATGTCTGGAAATTGTAATAAAATAGGCCTAATTACTATTATCACTGAAATAGAAACTTATCAGCAACAAAAAAACTCACCAAACTTCGAAACCACCTTCACGTGTGAAAACTAGGGCATCCCACCGCGTCCCAACTCTCTCTAGGCCTACGTCTCGCTCCTGAGTAATTCGTTATTTCGAGTTAGTAATTCGTTATTTCGAGTTTGTAATTCGTTATTTCGGATTACTAATCCGAAATTTCGAATTAGTAATTCGTTATTTCGAGTTAGTAATTCGAAATAACGAATTACTAACTCGAAATAACGAATTAGTAATCCGAAATAACGAATTACTAACTCGAAATAACGAATTACAATATATTTCTACCAGACGCGTCTAGACGTTAAATCGGCACAAATATTCTGTCCTTACTAAAATTGAACTCGCTAAAAGGCCGCCTTCGGTGGCCTTTAGCGAGGGTCTGTCACTTTATAATATTTTGAATTCTCTGCTGCTTTTTTCGTTGTACTGTACTAACGTAATTTGAATAAGGTGTTTCTTACTTCTGTACTACCCAGCACTCTACTACAACGCATTGAGAATGTGGTAACTATTTCTATAATTTTCAAAAAACCAAATACACCTAAATTCATCGACGAATCACTTTCATCGACGAATCACTTGATTCATCGACGAATCACTTGATTCATCATCGAATCACTTGATTCATCGACGAATCACTTGATTCATCATCGAATCACTTGATTCATCGACAACTCACTTGATTCATCGACGAATTACTTGATCCATCATCGACGAATCACTTGATTCATCATCGACGATTCACTTGATTCATCATCGACGAATCACTTGATTCATCATCGACGATTCACTTGATTCATTATCGAATTGTTGCTTGAACGGCGTTCTATATTATGTATGCTATACACAGTATCAACGTAGGAAGTGTCTGAATCGTTTATTACACTATACGGTAGTGTTGGATTGTAGCTGTGGCGTACATTGCTTGGTAATTCGTAATATCTACCGTAATGCGTATAGGAATGTAATAAGCGCCAACATTGGTTGATTGATGATGTTGGTTGAGCGCTGTGCGCGAACCATGTAGGCCTGCTTTTTTTTCTCTTTATTTTAAGGACCTGTTTGCTTCTCTAACTGTAATGGTTTACCGACGTACGTCCGTGAGTTAATTTGTGACTAAAGCTTAAAAAGCTCGTGTAAATGTGTTATTAAAAAGCGGTATACATCCTGGTCTATCTTGTGATTATTGTGTGTGGATATCATCTTAACCAATACTGGCGTAATCACAGCGTGATTTGAACCCACGGCAGTCCCTTTATTTGCGTGAGGCATCGTTTTCCCTCCGTGCTAGGCCAGTTTATTTTTCATACACTCGGTAAGTACCTGTTGCCCCTTGTATACATAAAGAATCATAAAATAATAGCGAACAATGTGGAATATTAAATTGTTAATTGTATAAGATTATCTATTATACGTTTTTCCTCTTAAATACATGGTGTAAATAGTTGAATATTTTTTGTATTACTAGTGTAATGTGCAAGCTCATTAAGAAAATACAATTATATTGTGTATGGAAACGAACATAATATCGTGGGATGTATTTTTTTCTCTTAAATCAATGTATAACTTACATTTGAGAAGAAAATGAAATTCATCTTCAATATTCCCTTATAAAAGCAAATTCTATCTTTGAAGTTAATATTTAACTTTCTACCTTTCTCGATTTTTAAGTTGGGCTTGAAATGCGAAACGAAATAAAGATCTTTTTGAAATATGGATTTAGATTAGAAGAAAGGTAGTTTTCAAAAGCAATATTATATATTAATCAACAGTAACTTTTTAGCTTATTTGACTCGTTGACATATGACCCCCATTATTGTTGGTCAATATCTAAAGAACGTTGTTTAACAATATTTAAAAAACAAACATCATCACCAACTCTTCGGTTAAGCCATGCTTCCCCGGGATAAGGATCGGATTATAACTGCTTTAGGCCAAGAGGATGGAATTTTGCCAGAATCTAGGATAATATTTAAAATAGCTGTTAAAATTAAGATAAATGCATATCCACATCTTTTAAAGAAAGCAGGGGATTACCATTCATCCCCGGAGCCGAATTAGCCTTTTGACAATTGATACTTTCTTTGACTTCATAAGAAGTGATAGATCCATTAAGTATCTCAGCAGTCTTTAATAATCTCGTTCATTTTCATTCAATATGTCAACACCATTAGCATTCTGCATTATAGTGGCTTCGCCGCTTTCGCTGGGATTGAAAAGTTTTCGGAAATAGTCTGACCACTCATCAGCCGTAATGGTATTCTTAATTTGATTTCTCTTTTTAAAGGTGGCCGAGAAGCGCTTAGCATTGTCTTCTGTCAGAGATTGAACAATCTTTTCTGAAATGGCTTTATTGTATAAATATTTTTTTCTGTTTAATAAACTTTGTATATGATTTTTCTTATCCTTAAAAGCAGTCAAATTCTCGTTAGATCTATTAAAGCGAAATCTGTTTAGGGGTTTGTATACCTCTTGACACTCATGCTTACATTCCATATCAAACCAAGAATGGTTTTCACTATTACTATTATTGTTGTTTCTTAATTTTAACAAAATGCAGGAAGAGTGAATTAAAACTATGTTCAAAAACGTCAATGTCGGTCTCATTAATCAAGACCTCTAAGTTTGCCAAGGTATTCTGAATACAGCTACCTGTCCCTTCCGACGGGTAAAGAAAACAAATCATAGTCAAAGTGGTATCTAGGATATGGGTAAGTATCGCCTGCAATTTCAGCTTCATTTTCATCTACTTTGTTGGAATTAAAATTTAAATTAAACATCAAAGGAAAGTGATCGGATTCCAATCGTTTATTAACTTCAAAATGGGTAATGTTATCAAATAGAATGGTTAATGAAATTACATAATCGTTAACAATTTTCCCATTAGCATTTATGAACGTAAAATTACCATTGCTATCCTCACAATTAGTTTCTGCCATACTCGCCATCCATATTAGCCCTATCTATTATTGAAGGGGTATATTCGGTATCATTAATCGGCAAATGATCAGTACTCTCCAGAAGGATTGAATCCAAAAGAGACCCAGTCCTAGCATTAAAGTCACAAAAAATTAGGAAATTAAAGTTGTGATAATAAGACCTGAAATTAGACAATGTAAAAACCAAGTCATCATAAATATTTTCATCACTATACATTGAAGAGCTTGGTGTTATATAAATTAACCCAATTATAATCATTTATACAATCAGGTCAAGATAATTTGAACCAAAGGAATTTATCATCATTGCAACTGATATGTTCAATGTGTCCAGAAAGGCGCTCTTTTATCAGGAAAAGTAAGCCACCAAAAGCTTTGCCACAGTTTCTATGTTTCTGGTAATTCGTAAGATCTGTAACTATTCGTAAGATCTGTAACTATTTAAATCGTAGTTCTTAATACTATCCCACGTTTCAACCAGTTCAGTTAAATCAAATTTTTCTATATACAGTACTTCTTAAATTTTAGTTCATCCCACTTTCCACTAAGCCCATGTACATTCCATGACAGACACTTTAAACCCACTTTTGGGCCTTGACCTACTTCCTATTCTGTGTAGAAATGGCGGGATTTGTCCCCTCGATAATTAAGGTTCTTACGCTGTTCCATTACTCCATTACCCGGTCGGTTTCGAGATGTAAATATAAACGATTTGAATCCCTTCATTATCTGTTCTTACTAGCTCGTCATATCTAATTTGCTTTAGCCATATCACCTTTGTTAAGAAGTTGTCTTCTCTTCACTACCACCATTTCTCTAATTTCTATTTTTTAGGGCGAAGTCTTCCGCAATGATGATACCTTTTCCCTTCAGCTTGTAAGCTTGTTTCAACACATTCTCCTTGTCTTTAAATACGTGACTTTGATTATAATGCGGCTGTCTTTAGCTCTCAGCCTTAGTTGATGTCAGGGGTGGCGCCAGGATTTACCCGACGGGGGTGGGGGCGAGGTCCCTGACGAGGGGGGTCCGATGCCCCGACGAGGGGTCAGATTTCCAAGACGAAACCAAAGTGGGCGTGGTCAAGTTACGAATAAAAGGTTTCGAAAGTGGTCACGGGGGCGAAGCCGCCGAAAATTTTGACAATTTAGGGGTTCAAAGGCTTATTTAACCGATTTTAGAGTCTACTAATATGTAGAAAATACATATAATTTTTTCCCCGACGAATTGAGCTTTTTCTCTCTGACGGGGGGGGGGGGGGCGGCCGCCCCGCCACCCCTGGTTGATGTGCTCTTTCAATGGCGATATTACGATCCAAATCCAGGTAATTCTCAAGCACATCTCGAATCTTAAATTCGGTTTGGTCCCAGTTTTCACGTTGTAGATTCTGAGTAATACCTTTGAAAATTTGGCTGTTTCTTCTGGAGTTGTACTATCTGTACTGCCTTCACTAGGTATTAGAAGCTGCTGCACCTGCCTAGTTTTCCCACGTGTAGTCATTGTAATTCATATTTAGTACGCTACGGAGCGAGAAAAAAACGCGTCTGCTCTCCACGATTGCTCTCCACATTTATTTGCGTGAGGCATCGTTTTTTTCCTCTGTGCGAGGCCAGTTTATTTTTCATAGACTCGGTGAGTAACTGTTGCCGGGAATACAACTGTTTTCCTCTAATCAGCTTGATAACTCTAGCCTCTCTGGTAGCTGTTGTGGAGTATCGCCTATACCAGAGACCAGGAACTCTATTTACCAGATTCCAGTAACAAAGTATCAATAAATAATCGCACTCCAAAACAATGGAGATTAAGGACGGCAGGAAACAATTACATCATTTGAAAGTTGGCAACATAACCTGATGTATACCGGTACCTTGTCTCTAGACCCAAATGTTATGCCCTTTCTAGACGATACATGGCAGATAAGAACAAAAGCCGTGCCAAACTCCACAGGGGATTTACTGACGATGGTAAATACGTGCCCAGAGCCCAACGCCGCACCGCCGTGGACATGATGTGGGTAGATCTGGTTGCTAATTATTGCCAAATATTTTCACGGAACACAATAACAAATGCCACCTCTCTCCCAGGCATGTGGCAACTGATTAGACGGTTTTCAAAATTGCGGGGCACA